TAAAATATATGTCATGAAAAAAATTAGTATCAGTAAAAATCCTGCAGATTGTCAATAAAAAAAATTGCTTTGGCAGCCCTGGCAAGGGTGTCTCACTAGGCTGGCACAAAGTGCAGCTGTGCCACTGTAGCTGGGGTCAAATTGTCTCCAGAGCCCAGCATAACAGGGGTAAGAGAACAACGTTGCAAACTGAACTGGAATCCCAGCAGGCTTTGTTTTAATTACAAATCCTGGTTTGTCTTTCCAGAGAGAACTGCCAGGCTGAGAAATCTAAGTGAGGTGCAGACAGAGGTGGTATTTTACTTTGATGTAGGTGGTTGAGATCAGCAACATCACCACTGTGCACAAGCTCACCTAGGTGTAGCCAAACAGAACTACCGTGCTCTGCCTTCACTCGCATTTTGCACTGCTGTGTAGCAAAACTCTTGTTCTTTGCTCAATTTAAAAAGTCTATCTCTGCTGCTGTCCCCTGCAGCTAGCAAAGCTGCTCCTTTACTTCCCAGAGTAATTTTAGGTGCAATGGTCACTGGTTCATAGATCCAAGAAGCAAGGTCACCACTGCAGAGTTAAGGTCCTGGCTCCTGCTCAAATTGGTGTCAGTTTGCCAATGCATTCAGCTGGTGAAAGGTTAACAGCATGTGATCTGTGCAGCATGATTCAGGTATCTGTTTACTTTGTGTTTTCTTAGCTGGTGAATTAGGTGAGGGGGCAATCTAGATTAAATTTGTCAACACAGCCATAACTTTGTCTTCCAATACACACAACCGGGCTTCTGTTCTTTTGGGAACCTTTGCAGCAGTGGGACTCCAGCCAGCAGGTGTCAGATGGTCATGCTGTGGTAGGGTTGTATGTTAAGTGGCAATAGTGTTCAGCTGGTGCCACCTCTGATATCTGTATCCCTGGGATCTCGTAGGAGGCAGTGATTCCTAGTGGAGAGAACAGTGGACAGAGACATGAGTTCTAATCCCAGCTTTGCCACTGGTCTGCAGGGGCACCTTAACCAAGTCTGTCCCCCTCTTTGTGATGCATTTTCCCCCTCTGTAACGTGAGGATATGGGTACTGTCCTCCTTTGGGTCCAGTGATGCAACACCCTATATATGAACTGAGCACTTAATCAGAATGATTTGAGAGCATGGGATTCTATGTGGTAACCTGTGCTGTATTTCAAACCGGAATATGTAACTTGTAGCAGAGCCTAATAAAAGCCACTTAAAGAAAGCTAACTCTGTTCCTATGTCACTCCAACCCCTGCAGAACAGCTGAAGCCCAGAAGACAATCCTGTCCTCTAAGGGTGCACATTCTCTTCCTATAGGGCCAGGGTGCTCAGCCACAAGCTGCATGCAGCCTCTGGAGCCACAGCTGCTGCTGTGAGGAGATGAACCCCTTGTGCTGTGGGGTCAGACACTAGGAAAAGGTGGGGAGGAGGCAAACATGAGGGGGAGCCCAGCCAGGCAAGAGAAAGCAGGGACCCATTAGGGGAACTAGTGACAGCAGCCCCGTGTAAACAGAATGGATACTAGCTGAGGGGGCTCTCTGGAAGCTGGAGCCCCTGTGGTACTTGATGGGGGAAGAGGGACCTCTGGGGAGTGAGGACCTGTGTGTGTCTCACAAAGCAACTGGGGTTCAGTGGTGTCTCTGAGCGTGTTTCTGGGACCGTGAGGGAGGGCTTTATGTGAGTGTGAGGGGACAAGGGGGATCTGTATCATGGCTGTGGACCCAGCATATGTCAGAGAAGTTATCTGGACCTAGAGGAAGGCTGTCTTTTGGGGGAGCACAGGGGGTTGGGGA